GTAGTAAGCAGGCAACCAGCCGGGCACACACATGCATACAGAAGCTAACTTTGTTATTGCTACTGTAAACATACATTGCATTTTTCAACAGCAAACCCTGCCTCTTCCTCCAGATTCCATTTCAGATATGCTCATGTTTCTGCCCCGAAAGGTAACCCAAACCTTCCTCATCTTTCCTCAGACCTAACTGATCTTCCCTCTAGAACCCAATAGCTGGAAGCATAAGGTGCTGGGAAAGGTTAGATCACAGAATTCTAGAATAGTAGAGTTGGAAGGGGCCAGAAGGTGCAGTGAACTGAGGGGCCCATCTGTACTCAGCATAATGGAAGGCACTGGTAGCAGTTCATACTCAGAAACTTGGCACTAAAGGGGCCCTCCTCAGACCTCTATTTTGACTTGAGAGGGACTCAATCTGCGAGAACCATGTGGCACCCTCAAGACGAACTGGACTGCAGCTCTCATCCCAGCCATGTGAGCTGTGAATTGTGGGAGTTTCAGTCCAACACATCTGAAGGGCACAGGTTGGGAACAGTTGGCATATATGGTCAACATTCCCTCAAACCATAATACTGAGCTGGGTCTAAAGAGGCCATCCAGTCAACTCTCCTGTCTACAAACTAGCGAACTGCAACACCCCCATGAGGCTCTTGCAAAGAAGGGCTTGCTAACGATGCATTCTGCTCCCTTGAATTCTTGGGCACCAAATCCAGTTGGATCCCTCTGACTTTTTTCATGTTCTTACAGTGAACTGCCTCCTTTAAAGGAATCCTTTCTCAAGTCCCTATTCACGACTTCTCCAGTTTAATCAGGCTTACAAGCTTTTCCTCACAGCATCACACCCCAGATCTGAGTGTTAACATGCATTTCCCAAGCTTAAACCAGGGAAACTGCTGCCTGTGCATACACGGACACACAAGCTTCGTTAAGCTTTCCTTTTAAGTGGTCTTGCAAAATTATAAGACATTTCTCAACATCTGCTTTCACCTGCAGAAGACATGACTGCCAGTAAACATTTTGGCACAAAGCACAGGTTGGTGCCAAGATTAAGTAACTGATTTGAAACAGATATTCCACAAGGGATTACTGCTTTGCTGCCTTCAATCACTGACTCAGATTCAGCACATTAAAAGAAAATACTGACCTATTTGGTTGCCAATAACAAGCAAGCATAGGGAGAAAGTGAATGCTGGCTCCTTTTCCATGGCCAACATAAGCTTCACAGCAGGAAGAAAGAGGTCACCCTCTATCCATCTCCTTCCTGTACTCTGTGCCCTAATTCCGCCCTCTTTTACATGGATGCTGGCCCAACTCCTTGCCTGAAGTTTGGCCACTGTGCTCCACTACAAATGTTAGGAAGCTGTCTTTGACCAAGTCAGAGCCAACCATGCCAGGACTCTTTCCTGCAGTCGCCTAGAACCTGCTGCTGACACTCTGCACTCAGGAGTCAAGCAACACTGACCCAGACAGAGCAACCAATGTGAAGGGCAATGTGAGGAATGGCAAGGCAGGTCAGTCAGAAAGGTCTGGGGGCCTAACAGAGAGTAAGATTTGAAGCCTATCATGCGATGACCACCCAGCTGGTCAACCTGAGTGCAGCTGTAGAGATCTGAAGAGGCACAAAAACTCCAAGACCCTTCCCCAAGCTTCTGCTTGTGAAGTGTGACAGAACAAACAGCCAGCTCCAACACAAGTGGACTGCTCATGCAGATTCTACGTAAGACCCAGAAAGGACACTGCACTGCTTTCAAACCCTGCCCGGCTGGTTGGGCAAAAGCAAGACTTCTTAACTTCAAGAAACAGTGCCCAGCACCTGCAGACAAATCAACTTGACAGATACAAACCAAGCAATCATCCAGATGGCCAAAGCCCTGATGAAAAGCTTTCATACAAATGAGATGCTATCAGAGAGCTCATGATGATTAAGTAAGCCACATGGTGATGGCAACCCCATTGCTTGTGTTGCAGACTTGGCACCAGATGTACTGAAAAAAGCAAATCAGCTTCACAGAGTCACTCAGAAACCGGAAGTAGCTGTGCCTGAAGGATGAGTAGCCCAGTGTGAATATTACAAGACCTACAGCATGACAGAGGAGAACAAACAGCAATACGGAACACACAGAGAAACCATCCCATGAAGTAGGAGCCATAGCTGAGTGGTACAGCTCTTGCTTTGCGTGCAACACTAGGGGGATAAATGGACCAAGGCTTGGATTCAGTAACGTAACTTCCCATGTTCCTGATCAATTTTATCTCTAAATTAAATAAGCGAAGCACACTTCCTTTTGAAGTGCAATGATGGGACCTACCAAAATCTTCTGCAAAAGTGTTATGGATACAAAGGCAGGCAATGCTATCCCATGAAGTGCCTCAAGAGCTTGAAAAAGGCCTTTGGAAATGATCTGCAGAGGAAAGGAGCAGATGCCCATGCTCAACTCAGAAGGTCTAAGGAGCGAACCCAGTAATGCTAGGATGACAATATTTTCCAGACAGTAGCAGCACCCATCCTCTGAAAAACCCTGCCCAGTGCAGTCTGGGAGGCAGAGAATGTTCTGCTGTGATTACCTTCTAAAAGCACAGTTGCTCACCACACGTTCCTTAGCTTGTAATTAACCACAATTAATCACATGCTGCTTTACCTACCAACCTTTGTATTGCTTTGTATGGTGACTGCAGCTGAAATTGGTTTCAATGGTGTATTTAAATGTGACTGTTAATATTTTTATGTGAGCTGCTTATTATATTAAGCATCCTATAAGCATTATTCATTAATTATATAATGGACTGAATTGACTTTCACATGCCTAATTTTTCAATGAATTGGTGCCTCTTTCATTAGTTAAACTCAAGGCAGAAGTGATTTCTTTGTGGGGGAAAAAGTCTCTTTTGCTGTGGTAGCACAAGCCACTGCATGGTTAGCTAATAAACCAGGAAGAGGGATGTTTCACTTTCCCCTTGCCAGGCTATTCTTATACTACTTCCACACCCCACAAGAAGCCCAAACATTTGCCTAACCCCACCACACCTCACTTGCTTTGCTTGCTTACAAATCTGAGTCTTTCCATTAACAACATTCACAGGCCTGGCTAAATTCAGTCATGTTTCCACGTAAATTTACTGTCCCCCTGACCAAGACCTCTTGGCTTCTCTTTCCATAGCTCAATTTCCGCAAGCATATATCTTAGATCATTCAACAAAGATTGCCAGATGTCACAAGAGCGAGACCTGCCACTTTGTTCTGACCCATGATGCCCACCCACACAGCAGGAAACCAAGCCAAGGCAAGAATGATCCAGGTCGCACCCACATCACTGAGCACAACCTCACCCCATTCCTTTCAATCGGTGCTTCCACCCTACACTCAATCAAAACCACACCCTTTTACATCACTGCACACACATGCATTCCTGGCATATATACTTCTTTCGCCATTGCTGCCCTTTTATGCCAGGGAATCAAACAAAGCCCTACTGCCAGTGTAAAGGTCCAGGTCCAGAACATGGCAAGAAAACACCCTGAATGCATACAGAGGGTCCTTTCTTCTTCTCACTGACAGCTAGGAAAAGCTTGCAAAAAGGGCTGACTCATTTCATTTTGTTAATTATATTACTGGAAAGCAAACCACCCAACATCACAGCATTAAAAAAAAAAATCTCATCACGCTTTTCAGACATCCCAACTTCCAACCAAATAGCATTCCTGAAACTAAAGCACACTGAAAAAATAACACTTCCCCAATCTCAGGAAAGTGTAAAATTCTGATAAACGTACATTTGCAGATGTTTCACCATCAGAACAACGCAAAAGAGAATGTGAATGGTTTTCTGCCCCCAGGAGGTATCAACTGACACTGTTCATCAGGCAGAGTCAATCCACCGCTAGTGGGGAGATTATTCCCGCTCTGATGGGATCATTCACTCTTTTGACAGATTCTCCCCTTTGTCTGTGATCTACACAGTGCTGCAACATGCCTTTCCCCCACTGCCCGGGCTGGTGGCCTCATCATTCTGTAGCAACATCACACTCCCTCCTCTCCTCTCTGCATCTCACCACCAACCGAAGAATAATGCTTTACTCATTTGATAAGGCAGGCACTAAGCCACAGAAACTTCTGCAATGATAAATCTATTCGTTTTTCAGGAGCAAACATACCCATTATTATGTGCGCTGCAACAGACTAAGTTGGTGGCTCTACTGGTATGCTAATGCATACAACTTAGAGCATTTCTGAGCTTTCAGAAATGAATCAAAGCTCTCAGTCACAAACAACCCAGTGAGGTAGACTAATAGTACTAACCCTCACAATGAAGCTATGCAGAGATAGGACCTGAGACTTGACAATGATGATTATAAAGTGGCCGGCACATCAGCTTGGCCTAAAAATCTTGCACAAGCAGAGACAAAAGATTAGGTGCTCACTAGCCGGGAAGTATGGGTAAGATATACCCTGCACATGCTCGAAAGCACTGAGTCACCGAAGGAGCTCATGGAGATGAGGATATCTGGAACAGTGCCATGTTGGCGAGAAAGTAGCGAATGAGAAAAACCCTGCACGTGTACATTGACTCCGTTCAAACAGCTCATTCAAACAGAGGACCAATGATTTTAGGGAAAAGATTGGGAACGGGTAAGATGCATTGTCCACATGCTCAGAGGCGCTTCAGATCAGCCCAAAGACTTTGTGGAAACAGAGAGACCTCGGATAGAGCCTCAGTAAAGGGGTGGGAGGTAGGGAGAAAACAGGAGAAGATGCATACTCTAAATGCTCAAAAACACATTGCCTCGATCCAGTGAACTCGTGGAAGCAAAAAGCCTCGCAGGCGGGGCAGGGAGGGCTGGGTGCAACGCGCTCTGCACATGCTCAGAAGTGCTTCAGCTCGGTCCAAAGAGCTCGGGGCCCTTTGAGAGAGGGCCTGCCCGCAGAAGCCCGGGGGAGGAGGGCTCCGCACGCATTCGGAGGGCCTCCTGGCCTTGCCCCCCCGCCCCCCCCGCGCCCGGCTGACCTGGAGGCGATGGCAGCGGAGCAACGGACGCGCTCGCTGAGGTCGCAAAGGGCCCGGTAGTGGAGGTCGCGGCCCTTCTCGCGCTCCAGGTGGAAGCCGTAGATTGCCAGGGCAATGCCGGCCAGGCACACGGCGTAGCGCGCCACCCGCTCCCAGCGCGGCACCGACACTCGCAGTAGGACGGGGGCCGCCATCTTAGCCCAGCCCTCGCCTCGGCGGACCCGGCAGGAGACTGCGCGGCTCTGCGCGCGCAGCGCAGCGCATGGCGAGACGCTCCGCACCGCGCGCGCGCGCCCCTCTCCCATTGGCTGGAGGCCGGGCGGGGAGCGAGGCCACACCCACGACCGCGCGCCCTCCGCCCTCCCTCGCCCGCTCCCTCAGCTGCTGCTGTTCGCTGTCTCCCCCCTCAGTGAACGTGGCGCTCTCCTCCGTGTCTGACTCAGATCAGGCTGACCAATCAGTGCCTGCGCACGAGCGCCTGCTCCGCCCCCTTTGGGAAGGGCTAGAGAAGGGCTATCGCGAGACTTCAGAGTTATCAGGCGTGAGATAGAGGCGGGGCTCAGTCTTCACATGCCCCGCCCCTTTCCCTCTCTCCAATGAACTGCAGGCCCAAATCCCACCTGTTGGCTCAGGTGTTTACAGCTCCTTTTTTAATACAGAGGATTTAACTAATGATATCTAAAGTAGTTTGCCACGAATTTAAACAAGAAGTAGTTGGACTCCAAGCTTGTTTGCCTTATAGCACTGTGTATATATGTCATTTTTTGTATAAACCAAATTAGAAGAATCTGCATCCTTCAAGACATAAAAACATAAAAAGAAAGTCCTTCACACAGTGCATAATCTACCTGTGGATTTGGCTACCACTAGATGGAGTGAGAGATACTGATGATGAAACTAAAATACTTTGGCCACCTAATGAGAAGGAAGGACTCACTGGAGAACACCCTGATGCTGGGAACTATTGATGGCAAAAGAAGGGGACGGCAGAGGATGAGGTGGCTGGACAGGGTCACTCGGGTGGTGGGGGTGGGCTTGGGTGGACTCCGGGGGATGGAGGAGGACAGGAAAGTCTGGAGGAGTTGTCCATGGGGTCGCGATGGGTCGGACGCGACTAGCAACAACAACCGATGGAGTGAGAGCCACCTATGGTTGGCTTGCAAGGGGGATTAGAGAATTTACTGGCGAAGGCGACAATCCATGGCTGCTACTAGTCATTTATTTATTTATACTGTATATATTTTAATTGTCATTGTTTTAATGTATTTTGTATTCAATGTTGTAAGCCGCCCCGAGGCCTTGGCAAGGGGCGGCATAGAATTGTTTTAATAAATAAATAAATAAATTTATTTAAAGCATTTCTATGCCGCCCCATTCGCCAAAGCCTCAGGGCGGCTTACAACATAAATTAAAATATAATACATTAAAAATATAAAACAAATTAACAATATAAAATAAGTCGCCCTGGCCAGTCATCACGGCTATATGCTACCTGTACAGGTGTCATAAGTACAGGTTAGGTGACAAGTGGCTGGAGAGCAGCACCTCGGGAGTCAGCAGTGTGATGAAGTGGTCAAAAGGGCGAATGCCACCCTTGGTTGCATAGCCAGAAGTGTGGCTTCTAGATTGAGGGAGGTATTACCACCACTCTATACGACCCTGGTGCACCCGCAACTGGAGTCTTGTGCTCAGTTTTGGGCCCCTCGTTGCAGGAAGGATATAGCCAGGTTGGAGCCAGTGCAGCATAGGGCCACAAAGTTGGTGGCTGGTTTGCAGGGGAAGCCGTATGGGGCGAGACTGAGGGAACTGGGTCTCTTCAGCCTGGAGAAGAGGAGACTCAGAGGGGATCTGTTGGCGACATGCAGGTATGTGAGGGGGTGTCACACGGAGGTGGGCAGAGACCTGTTCTCCCCTGCAGAGGAAGGCAGGACGTGCTCCAACGGAGCAAAGCTCAGGGAGCCAAGGTTCCATTTGGATGCCGGGAAGCACTTCCTGACAGTCGGGACCCCGAGGGTGTGGAATGGGCTTCCACGGGAGGTGGCTGAGGCCCCATCGGTGAGGGTGTTCAAGGACAGGCTGGATGAGCACATGGTGGGCATGTCTTGAGCGGAGCCGGCTGAAGCAGGGGGTCAGACTAGATGGCCCGGGAGACCCCTTCTGACTCGCTATGTTTCTATGTAGTGCAAGAGGTATGGTATAGGGACACATTCTGCACCTGGGAAAAGAAACCAAATGCATTTCTATAGGATGGTGGATACTTGGCTCAACAATAGTGCAGGTGAGAAGGAACTGCAGATCACAAGCTGAATATGATTCAACAGGGTGATATGGTTGCAAAAAAGGCAAATGCTAAATTGAGCTGCATGAACAGAAGCACAGCCAAGTAGTTCCCCTCTACTCAGCACTGTGTGCCACATCTAGTTCTAGGGACCACAGCTGAAGAAAGATGCACGCAGCTTGGAAGGAGGGCCACAAGGACGATCTGGGAACGGGAAACTGGGCAGGTTCAGCCTCTAGAAGAGAACTGAGGGGGAAGAGATGATGGCTCCTTGAAGGGGGTTATCATAGAGAGGAGGGCCAGGGTCTCTTCTCCATCTCCCCAAAGTGCAGGCCATGGAACAATCCGCTCAAGTTCCAGGAAACGAGGTTCCAGGTAGACAGCAGGAAGTATTTCCTTACTGTTAATGCAGCACGAAAATGGGACCCATGACCTGGAGAGGCTGTGGACTCTCCCACACTCTTCGAGTTCTACAATTCAGTTTCTATGAAATTCCTAATGCTATTGTGTGATAAATGTTTAATATTTTAAAATGTTTTATTATAAATACAGCACCTTATTTTGTTTAATGTTTATACTATTACATTTCAATGTCAATACTCCAAGCTATTAAATGTTAAATATTTCAAACAATCTTTAATATCAAATATAGCATTATTATATTTCGAACAGTACATCATTAACAATTATACCTTATTCAATTGAATTATATATTAATATCATTTAAGAGAGCCAGTGCGGAGTACTGGTTAAGACCACAAATCAGGAAATCCAGGTTCTGGTTCCCACTCAGCCATGGAGCTAACTGGGTGACTTTGGGCCAGGCACAAACTCTCAGCCCAACCCACCTCACGGGGTGTTGTGGGGAAAAGAATGAGGGCAGCAGGAGGAGAATTATGTAAGCTGCTTTGGATTCTATAAAAAAGAAAAGGGCTGGATATAAATTAAATAATCAATTTTAATATTTTATAATTACAATATATAATTCAATAGTGACATAATAAAGATTATTCTTAAATTATTGCTTAATAATGTTTTGTTGTTGTTAGAAATTCAACACATTTTAAAGTAATTTTATGAGCTCCTGGTGTACAAATTAGCAGGTATAACTTTCATAGGTAAAATATGCTACCATGGACATAGCTAGGCCAGTGAAATCAGCTGGAAATCAGCTCCTTGCTAGAAATCAGCATATGTGCATGGCTGCGCCTCAGCTGTAGCTGACGCTAAGAAGGCACCATTCCAGGAAAAGCTAATTGCACTTAACAGGTAACAGCAGCTCAAGGACAGGTCATTTCACACTAACCCACCCCAGCCCTCTCCTCTTCTGTGTAACAGCACCGCATTCTCCCAAGTGTCTTCCAAAGCCTATCGGAAAGTGTTAGCTGTGTTGTGTGTAACCTTTTAATGGGCAGTGTATAAAAGGCCAACTAAGGACTGCTCAGGTATACCATTTGGAACGATTTGTTGGCAGCCAGTTATTCCTGAGAATAAATCTTTCAGAAGAAAAGCTTCCTCTGTTGTGTATTTGGAAGCCACCCCAAGGGGCGGCGCGCATATATATATATATATATATATATATATATATATATATATATTTGGGGCATATGCACACCGAGACAAGGAGCCATTTGGCCAACACCCTCAAGGCACCTTGACTCCTGGCCACCCTATGAATGAAAATCTCCATAACGACACCTGAAAATGCACATCATTGGCCTCAAGGCTCAGTAGCGCCCAACTCATCCATGAGTGGCAACCCAATGGCGAGAGCAGAGGGAGGCAGGATGGAATCTTTAGTCAACAGTATAAAAGTTGGGAAGCAGGTTTATTCCTCCAAGGGTGCCCTGCCGCTTCCCAGCTTCAGACAAACTCACAGGCTTACGAGGCCTCTGAGATCTGGATAACCATAGCGATGCTCTTTCATTAATGTTTCACATTATTAAACTGGGAGTTAGAAGAGTCTCCTCTTCTCCAGTTCCCTCAGTCTTGCCTCATATGGCATCACCTGCAAAGCGGCCACCCACCTTGTGGCCCTACGCTGCACTGACTCTAACCTGGCTATATCCTTTCGGTAATGAGGGGCCCAAAACTGAGCACAATACTCCGGTTGCAGGTGCACCGGAGTCATACAGAGTGGTAGTAATACCTCTCTCGATCTAGAAGCCATGCTTCTGGCTATGCAGCCAAGGGTGGCGCTCGCCCTCTTGGCCACCGCATCACCCTGCTGGCTCATGTTCAGCCTGCAGCCGACCAGCACCCCGAGGTCCCTTTCGCAAGTGCTCTCCAGCCACTTGTCCCCTGACCTGCACTTATGACACCCATTCCTATGCCCCAAGTGCAAGACCTTGCACTTATCCACGTTGAATGCCATCCTGTTGTCTCCTGCCCACTTCCGTAGTTTGTCCAGATCCTTTTGGATCCGGAGTACCTGCTCCTCAGTTGTGGCCACTGCTCCAGTTTTAGTATCGTCTGTGAATTTGATCAGCAGACTGTTCATCCCTTCTCCCATGTCATTGATGAAAAGATTAAACAGGATCGGCCCCAGGACAGAGCCCTGGGAGACCCCGCTTGTCACTGGCCGCCATCCCGATGATTCCCCACTAATGGTTACCCTCTGCTTTCGGTCAGTCAACCGTGCCCCAATCCACCGGACAGTGCTTTGGTGTATGTCACGGAAAAATGACATGGTGCCCCAGTTCCTGGAAACACTCAGCCAACCTGCTTCACTCCCGCAAGCGCCGCTCATCCAGGTACTGTAGGTATACAGAATGCCCTTCTTCCAAGCTGGAGTCCTACCTGATATGTTGAACCACACCTCCCATCATTCCCAGCCAGCAGGGTGAGCGCTGAGGTCCAACATGCTGAACAGGGCACCAGCTTGCAAGGCAAGGTTCACAGTTGCAGTTGGGCTGCCACTGATGCCCCCCTCAAATGCAGTAGTCCACTCATTTCACTGAGAGGCACCCACTTAATGAGATGTAGTCCATCCATCTGGGATCCTGCACACAATAGAATGCCCCTCAAAAGGCTTCTGAGACCTCCCTCCCTGCTTCAGTCCATCGGGGTCCAGCTTTGCTTATGTATGATTATTTTTAACCACCTTTACCACACCGTTCAAGCCAAACAAGGCTCACAAAAGCTGCTTACAAAGGTGAATAGGAAGACAGTCCCTAGTGACACGCTCAGAATCAAAATACTAAAGGAAAAGGGATGGAAGCGGGGAGGGATGCCAGCGCAGGCACTGGTTCCCAGCTCCAGGTTTCTGTGCCTTCTTTTGGCATGGCTCATTAAGTCCCTTGCTCAATGAAAGCCATCCATAGCTGGACAGAGGGAACCCAGTTTCTCACACGATGCCCCAGATTAATTGTGTGATAAACTAAGATAATGCTCCACAAAAGCTTGTCTTTACAATGACCCCCCAGAAAATCTTCCACGAGTCTACTCTGCTTGACAGCCTGCCCGCCCCATATGGGATTCCCCCCCAATATGGAGTCCAACCTATCTGGAAGGTGGAACGCTGCCCTAAAGAACAGCTGCCAGTGCTGAGCTCGAGAGTCTGCAGGCCCGACAATTACAACTCCTTTCTGTTGACTGCAGGTTGCCAGAAAAGCCAGTCGCTGAGTGCCTTTTCCCAAGCACAGACTGAAGCAATGCTGCCCCAATTTCACATGCCCCACTGCTCCTCCTGGCACCGTGATGGTTCTTGTTTCCAGCAAAAAATGTTTTCCTTTTTACTTGCTCGAACACTCCAGACCAACTTAATTTGGAGTGAGGGGTATAAAACCCCCAAAGTGTGTTTGCTTTCTGTGCATGTGTGCATGTTTACACCCCGCCCTTCTCTGTGGCCATGTTGGTTCCCTAAATAGGCCCGGGGATGCTCCATGGGCCTCCAAAGTTGCCTGGACACATGAGGCATCCATTCCTCTCCCCAAACTGCGACCCCAAGGCAACCCCTCTTGCCATGGATTTTATAAAGCTATTCTCTCCCCCAGTGCCAGAAGCTCTCAGTGCCCACGAGTGCGAACCCCTTTCCTGGGAGAACGGCAGGGAGGGGAAAGCAGCTTCACAGGCAGACAGTTTTGGTTCTCCCAGCAAAAGCAGCCCTTCTCTGAGGAATATCCTTGGGGAAAGCAACTGCAAGGCAATCCTTCCGGGTGTGTCTCCTAACAAGCTGTAAAGGCTGCAAGAGGTCATGTTGGCTTTTGAACAATGGGCACTACCTGTTGAACATTAGCCTCCTCACTATTCTTCCAGTAGAGGGGTACATACCAGGATTGTCCAGTGCAACCAAGAATTAACTTATCAAATTTATCCTCCACTTGGGCACATCTGGAGAAGAGGGAGTGGGACTAATGCATTCTTTGACGAATACAGAAGATGGCTCCACTGAGCAGAAGTAATGTGTGGCCAGGCTGAAACTGATACAGGTAAGCTATATGGTGGAGAGGTGGTCTTGTGACAGCGTTGCACACGAACACCCAGTTTAAAAATCACAACACCATTCGCGCCTATTTTTAAGAAACACCCCCGAATTTGTGCAAATGATGCAAGCACCACCGCCCCCAGGAGATGGCAGGAAATTTTCCCAGATTTGGGGGAAACAAGGTGTGCTAGCCTGTGCCTGCTTACTGGAACTGCAGGAAACCCATCAGGCCTAAATGGGAGGGACTTCCAGCTTCAAGCAACCTTCTTTGGGGCTTCTCCAAGGCGCCCGGAGGGCAGCAGGTGGGCGAAGGCCGGGCTCCAGCGGCGGGCGCAGCAGCATAACCCTCATTATGCTCTCCCTGCGTTCGTCCCCATTCCCTACGACCTTTAGACCTGCCAGTGTCTGTGTCGCATTTATATCCAGCCTCTTCTTTTCTTGCAGACTTATTTATTAATTAGATTTATATCCAATCCTTTCTCCTCCTGTTCTCAATCTTATCCCCACAACAACAACGACAACCCTGTGAGGTAGGTTGGGCTGAGAGGCTGTGCTCGGCCCAAACTCGCCCAGCTGGGTTTATGTGGTCCCGCTCCACCAAGCCACTTAAGCCTCACAACAGCCTTGCAAGGGAGGCCATTTTATGATTCATTACCTTTCAGTCCCGCCTTTCCTCGCTTTGCAGGAAACCCTCCTCCTCGCCGCTTTATGCTCACAACAGCCCTGCCAGGGAGGCTAGTTCCTGCTACCGGAGTGTAAAGAGAAGACCAGCCCACGTTGCTGCTGCACCGCCGCCCGCTCCCCGCAGCAGCCTGTGGACAAGAGGAAATTCAGCAGGGGAGCTTTTCTGCCGCCTGCAGCCGCGTCCACCTCACCTGGCCTCGGATCAGGGCCCTCGTGGATCGGGGCCTAAAATGGCCGCGGTCTCCCGGCCTCGCGTAAGGGGCGGAGCCAAGCGGCTGCGCCAGCCCGCTCTGCGCATGCGCCACCCACCCGCCTCCTGCGCTGCCTTCTGGGCCCTCCCCCACGCAGGATAAGAGCGATGGGGCGGGGCCACACTACTGCAACTTTTCTCCCCAGCCGCGCATGCGCGCGCACGCGCCTCGAGGTGACCTTGACGCGCGGCGGAAGTTGTCACTGCCCGACCGGAAGCGGGGAGAACCGCGCCGGCAACGAAGCAGGAAGGCGGTTGCGCGAGCAGTAGCTTCGAGAAACCGTCGCCATGCCGAGGGGGAGCCGCAGCCGGACGTCCCGCATGGCGCCGCCCGCCAGGTGGGAGAGCCGGGAGGGCGAGGGGCTTCTCGGGAGGGTTTGACTTTCACAGCGGGGGAGGAAGGTCGGACGTGGCCACGTGACCCCCGCGCACAGGGCTCCGCGAAAGAGCTCACGTGACATCCCAGCACCCCATAATACCACCATTGCTGGAGTGGTGTGGAGGGGTCTCGTGGGGAGGGTAGTAGTGGAATGGGGAGGCAAAATTCAGATGGGTTATCGTGAGGATACGCTACAAGGATGCAAGCCCGCTTGAGTTCCTCACATGTGGGGAAAAGTGGACTATAAATCTAGCGTGATAGCAATAATGATCTGATGCTTTCGGGCTGCTTTTCAGAACAACTGAGGAAAGCTAGTCAGAATGGGTAAGGTTGGTGTCGTGTTATGGGGGCATCTCTGAGATGAGTATTTCACAAGAATAGATGGGAGGACCAACATCACTTTTACTCCCTTAGGGGGTTACGGGCCCGGATACAAACAGCCAAGTCAGACCTGATAGGTGTGAAAGGATGATTTGAAACAAGGGAGTAGGGATTTAAAGGGGTAACAGAAAATTACTTAGCCCAAAGGAGGGGAGGGGCCAAAATCAGGTAGCACAAGGGATGGAAAACAGGCAGGTAGGCAGGAGGGCCAAATGGTTCCTGATGGTTTAATTGACAAGCTGGGCAGAACAAAATGAGCCTATTGTAGCCCACCAGGGGCAGGGCTGGATTGGCAAGAAGGGCTGGTGTTGGGGCAGGGAGGAACGAGTGTAACTCTCAGTACCCTATTAGCCAATTAGGGGAAAGGAGGAGGGAACAAGCGGCCTGAGCAGGGTTCAAAAGGAGTGTGTGAACATGTGCTCAGGTGAACAGAAGAATTGGGAAGGAAACCATTCCCTTCTGTTCCCTTTATTGCAATAAAGTTTTAAAAAGAACTCTCTGCATGCTTGGAATATTTTTCTCTTCCGACGGAAAGGAAAGAGTGTTCATAACAGACCTAAAGCCAGGAAAGATGTAATCTTGCCCATGTTTCATCAGAAAATCATCCTGACTGGGGGTGGAACTTGAAGGCATTTTTTCTGCCTAAATTTACATAGATTGTACTCTTCTTGGCCTAACCTTGTTGTGAAGGGTCTCATTTTGTGAAGAAGACATAGCAAATCTCACGCTCATCCATGTTTGCACATTGGGCTTGAATCAGTTGTAACAAAGTCTTGGCTGCTGACTGGTCTTTTCCTGTTCAGACAGGTTAGGGGGACAAACTGGCTTAGCCTCAGTCTCAGCTCTGTGTTGCATTCTTTAAGTTCAGCCATTGGATAATGGTGTGTACGCAAGCGCTCATGCTGACCAGGGCTCAGCTGTAATGGGTTTTCCTTTGTTCTGTGATGAGCAAGGCATGTCAGATAACAGGTGTGACCTTATCTGCAGATGTTTAACCAGCTTAAAGGGACTCTATTTGGTTACACTCTGCGCTGGCAGCAGAGCTGCCAACTTGAAAGCCTGTCTTTAAAATGCTTTGGAATAATAATAGTAAAAATAGCATGCTAGAAAAATATGGTGGTTCTTTAGATGTAGGGTGTTCTTTCTAAGAAACTTGGGTAGGCCCATGAAGGTCTTCCTGTCCATCTATTCATTCATACATTGTGCTTTATTTCCCATCTTAATTTCTACAAAGAACTCAAGGTGGCTTACATCCTCCTCCTCCTCCTGCTCCACCCCGTGTTTATCCATGCAACAGCCCTGCAGCCTACTGGTTAGGCTGACACTGAGTGACCCAAAGTCACCTAGTGAGCTGCATGGCTGAGTGGGGACTCCATCTTGGGACTCCTGAGTCCCAGACCGACACTAACCCCTCTGCTGCTGTGCTTCTCCTTAACCCCATTTTCCACTCACAGTCTTCGGAGGTTGCAGAGGCTTCAAGTGGTTCAAGGTCATTCCCCAAGTTGCCTCCTTGGTGCAACCCTGAGAGTGGCTCTCCCTGATTTGATGCTGGTAAATTTTCCCACCTGCCAGTGCCACCCTAACTGCAGTAGTGGCATACGGAGAGATGCTCTCCCATCCGAACACCAGTGAGGCCGAGGCCTGTGTTCGCTTCAGCAGGATCTCTCCCTGCGTGCCCCAAACCATGCGTTGGCTCATGATGAAATGGAGAAGCTGCAGGTGACAGTGAATCCATCAAACGATATCCAGCTGTTTGGCAAGTGGAACACACACGGTTTCATCTGCCGCATGTGTGACATGGTGTGCTTCGTTTTTCCCATCTTTGCAGCCGTGCGCCACCTATGAGGTCTGCACCACCACCAGCTGCACACGCCCCGGTTCCAGCCCCCGCTCCGGCTTCCGCAGTGGCTTCTCCTGCCCCTAGGCAGCCTGGCCTTATGGCCCAGATGGCCACCACGGCTGCGGGTGTGGCTGTGGGCTCTGCTGTGGGGCATACTCTGGGGCATGCCATGACCGGAGGATTTGGGGGAGGAAGTTCTGAAGCCGCCAGGCCTGACATCACTTACCAGGTGAGAAGGATGTGTGTCCTCCTTGAGCCTTTCATGCTGCATATTGACGGGGGTTTGGGTCATGTGGAACTCTTTCTGGTTAGCAAAGCGATGCTGTTTGTGCCGCTGTACCGTTTCTCCTCCAGTCCAAGGTTTTTAACTGATTGTGTGTAGCTTTGGTTAAGAAAGGGCCTTGGTGGCAGGATTTAGGTTTTTTAAAAAGCCTACAAAATGAGCAGTGGATTTCCTTCTTGAAGAATGCACTCCCAGAAGTAAGACAAATCCTCATATCTAGTAATGCTTTTAGATTTCTGAAGGTCAAAAGAAGTGAGATAAAACCACGTAATGGCAACAGTATTTCATTTTTCTGAGTATACGAAAAATGAATGTGGGGGTACAGAGATCAGCTCAGCTGCCTGGGGCCAACTTGATGTCTTGCAGCTGTCAAAGAAACAGGCCAGCAGTTCAGCAACAGGTGCTAAACCATTCTCATCTCCATGGCGGGGCAGGCGCATGATTGGAGTTGGAACTATACGTAGGCATTTAATGTGCTTTTTAAGAGTGTTTGACTCTACTTGATGTATTTATTCGTACGAATATACTGCTTGATAAGAGTGGACAACTTCTCTGAATATCTTACATATATTTAAAATACAGTATTACCATTTCAACTATGAAAATGCCAACTATGTTTAACCATAACAAGCAAGTTGAAGCAGCGAAGGGTCTGTTGTGGTTGATTTGAGACAGAATATTTGGTATTCTCCCCTCTCCGTTCCCTCCTCAAGACTCTGCCCTGTATTTTGAAGGTAGGAGATGCTGCCCTGGTGCTGCTTCATGGATGGAGATTCGCACTGGCTACCTAAGACATAATACATGGTTCTGTGCATCTGGGAGGCCAGGCCTCTGTGAGATTTCCTCCTGAAACAAGCACAGGTGCCAAGAGTAGTCGTGGCCTTTTTTTAAAAAAACTTATTTTGATGTTTTGCCCTTGGCCCTCAGGAGCCCCAGGCAGCCCAACCTGCAATGCAGCAGTCGCAATACACACCTTGCCAGTATGAAATGAAGCAATTCCTGGAGTGCGCCCAGAATCAGACCGACCTGAAGCTGTGCGAGGGGTTCAGCGAGGTGCTGAAGCAGTGCCGCTTTGCCAATGGTACGTCGCTTATGTGTGCTTTGAGCTTTTTCAGGCCAGGAACTCTGGATCCTGCAGGAGATCCAGGCTGCGGGGTGGGGTGAAGAGGGCTGTATTCATCACAGCCGAGCGAGTGACAAAACCAGGCAAGTAAGTCCTGAAAAGGCCACGCTAGTTGGGTTTGGGCATGTTCTTCTGAACGATCATGGGTGCGTTTAGAGTAGGCCGGGGAGGTTGAGGCCCTGCAGAGGTCAAACTGCTACTGCCCCTCTCCTCGTGACGGGACGGATGGAGCGTGGAGTCCAAGATCATCGATGGCCACAAGTTTGCCATAACTCTCTGGCATATATTCTGAACGTAAATGGTAATCCATTTTGTATTTATGGATTTTAAATCTTTTAAGCCGAGATGCACCGGGTTTTAGTATTTTTATTGTATAATTGTTATATTTATGTATTTTGTTTTTGTTGTGAGCCGCCCCGAGGCTTTGTTGCAATGGGGCAGCATAAACATGCTTTAAATAAAGAAATAACCCTCGCCCTTGCCCTTCGTGGATCCTCTTCGTGCTGCTTTGCCTCTGCGTCCAGCCTGCTTTTCCTTGGCGGAACGGTGCCAAGGTAGGGCTGCATCTGAATGTGGTGGAGGCAGGTTCCAGTCCGGGGACCCAACTTGTGAGTGGCATCTGCTTGGAAATCCCACTTGGAGCATTTGAGATCCAAACGGATTTTTCCACCAGCCCTGCTCCAGCGACCTGAACTGTGGTCAGCTTTCAGGCAGCTCTTGTGGAAAAACCAGAGATGTTGTTGAGGGCTTAGTGGAGCCGGGAGATGGAGGCTCCTAGGGAACCGTCCATCATGCCGTTTGGGTGGCACAAGGAGAGAGGTGTGGCACCACGGGGTGCTGCAGCGGTTCAGTGTTTCAGCTTTTGTGTGTTTGTGCCGATCAGTGACTTTTTCTGTCTGCTTCACACCCACAGGTTTAGCTTAACTGTGCTGTGCTGGATGGAGTCCATTCCATGACTGAAAGAAGCGTCCGTATAAACTTCTCTTGAATGTCTCAAAGCTGTCTAGCATTTCTTTTATGGCCACTCATCTACTCAACAAGAAAACACGGCAAGCTTCCCACAGCAGGAAGGATTGTGGTGACAGAATTCTGTCTCTGGTGGTTGGGAAAATGGGCCTGGAATTTGGGGGTTGCCTTGCCTCGCCACCTGTGTCCCTGCTTGTGTGCCTCTTGGTAGTGTACCAGCCTCAGAATAAAAAGTTGATTTGATGTCTGGAAACATGTCTCCGTAACTTGCATCAGGGAATCCTCCTGACCCTGGGAAAAAATTGCAGCGGGAAACCAGTGGTGGGGCGACTTCCTGCAGCTGTATTTGCCAGAGGACTTCCTCCTGAAGAAAGCAGCCGCTCCCTTGCTCACTGTGTTAAATGGCGACTTTTGTCCGGGGCTGTTCTCAATTACCCCAGAGAGCAAAGGCCTCTTGGCAGAAATTTTCTTTGGCCTGAATAAATTATGGAAGTAACACAGACCTCCTGCAGTTAAACATGTTGGTGACCTGTGCTGGAAAGGTCCTCTCAAAGGGGGGCTGCGTTCACCAAGCAACCTTGAAACGTTCCAAAGGTCGGCATGGGTGGGCATCAACCAGGGCTTAATCTTCCCAGCGGAAGAGCAGGATAGAAGTAAAATAAGCACATCGCCTTCTGCACAAATTAAGCGTGGCTTTGTGTCTCTGCGGTCAGCAGGATGGGGCCTTTAAGGGCCATAGCTCAGGCTGCAGTGCAAGCCATCTTGCTATTTCTGGGTGACTGGTGTCCAGGGATCAGCCATTCTTAACCATATGTGGCCTGAATACGTTCCGCTTCTAACTGGGTATATTGGAGAAGTGGCCAAAGGTGTGGAAGCCCAACAGTGACCTGCTGCTTCATGGCAATTTGGGGGCCTCTGGGTGTTTGAGGGGCAGCTCAGCTGGCAGGACCAAGAGCCAAGGATTATGGCAGCACAGTAAGATGTTCCAGCATCCCTTGGCTTGGACACAGTGGTCCTGGCACTGGCAGCAGCTGCACGGTCCTCCAATGCAGGTTCCATCTGCTGCTCAGGTAGCCTTGTGAAATAGGGTAAAGGCCTCAGAAGTTGAGTAGGCCCAGTTTTACCTGCATGGCTCACTCCATGCCAGTGGCTGCTCCTGCTCTAGAAAGCAAGTCAGGGAAAAGCAGGGCAGCCTAATGTCCTTCCTGTGGGTGAAATGATGGGGTTCACACCCCTACAGATTGCTGGGTAGCTGTCCTGCTTGTCCGCAGTCATGCAAATTTAGCTACTGGGGAAAGCAGCCTGCTGACATCTCAATCAAAACCACGTCTGGGGTGGGTTTATGCATGAGTTCGGACTCCAGTGAAAAAGACTGGCGCTTGCAGGGGTGCCTGGTTTGCAGAACCGGCGCTTTGCTGATCTTGAGCTGCGGGTGATAGAGGAGTAGTGTCGGAAGGGGCCAGAGGGCCATGGGGTCCAGCCCCTTGCTGGGGCAGCACGACGGTGGCACCATCCCGCTCGGGGGACTGTCCAGGTGCTTTTGAATGCCTCCAGCGAGGGAAGAGCCCACCGCTTCCCAAGGCGACGGGTTCCACTGCCGCGCCGCAGGAAGCTCTTCGGGCGCCCCGGCTCGGCCCGGCTTCTTTTACCGCCAGTCCCCCAGTCCGTGCGGATGAGACTGAACGAGAGGCGAGCGCGCCCTTCCCGCCCGAGCCGGCCTTTCGGCGCTAATGGTTGCCGAGGGCTCCCGCGGCTCCGTCGCTGCTTCTCCCCTCGAGGCTGGACGGGCCCCGGGCTTTGCCCCCCGGCCCCGAATCGCCCTCGCCTGCTCGGAACCCGTCCCGGCTTTTCTGCACCGCTCGTCAACTTCGGGGCTCCAGGGGCGGTGCGGCCGACAGGGCGGGAGTGGCCGGGCACCCGGGGCTCCGGGGCGGGCGGCACGAGGGGCGGGGGCCTCCGAGCCGGCAGCGGGCCCCCAGGCGCACGCAGTCGCCCTCCCGCGCCCGGCGGCATCCCGACCTCCGCGTGCTCCCGCCCGCAACGAGGGGCGGCGGCGGCGGCGGCGGCGGCCGGGGGAGGCGAGCCGCGCCCCTGCGGCCCCCGCGCTCG